CTGGCGGCGTCTCGTTTCTGTCCACAACTGCCGCAATAGTATTGATTCGATCCCATCAGGTATTCAACCTTTAGTTCATTGACATTAGAAACAAACAAATTGTAATCAATTCACTCATTCATGAGAAAAGAGCAAACCTTTAAATAATCGGCTAAACTCTCGTAAATATCTTTACAGCCCTTTATGTTAAGATCCAATTCATAGAATTGCGATTCCCTTGAAGACATGTCTTCACACGTCTGACATCTTTATGACATAGAAATGAATGGAAATATATTTTCATTATATTAATTAGAATTTAAAATTAAAATATAGTTGAGTCAAGACCTGGTAATGTAAGCAAATTTGCCGCAGTATTGGCTTTGTATCACTTTCTGGACGTTGGGATTCTTCTGGAACTGTAACTTCTTCTCAATGAGAGAGAAGAATAGATTAGAGAACTCGTGTGCGTCCTGTTGTCGGTTCTCATCCAATTCAAGACATTTTATGATAGGCTTCGGATCCACTGAACTTATCTCGAGAGCACGTCCTAACCTGGAAACTCATTCAGTCGCCTAAAGTCAAGAAGGTATTCGTGGCGCCAGGAAATGGAGGCATTCAAACGTTAGGTCCAAAAGTGGAGACAATCGGTCTGTGGTTTAAATTTAAATTATAATTTTAAAACTAAGTGAAGAATTCCATTAGATTTGGATATAAAGAATGTGGAGAAAGTGGTTGATTGGTGTACTAAGAATAGCCCACAACTGGTTGTCGTGGGTCCTGAAGACCCCCTCGATAGGGGTGTTGCCGACCAGTTGAGTGAACGAGGAATTCGATGCTTTGGTCCCAAGAGAGAGGCCGCACAGATTGAAAGCAATAAATCATTTGCCAAAGACTTTATGAAAACTCATGGCATTCCGACGGCTCGCTATCAGAACTTCAAAGATGCAAATGAAGCCAAAAATTTTGTGAGAAATGCTTCGTTCAATGCATTAGTAGTAAAGGCCAGTGGATTAGCCGCTGGAAAGGGCGTTATAGTGGCCGCCAATAAGGACGAGGCGTGTAATGCCATCGACTCTATTTTGGTGAACAAAAACTTTGGAAGCGCTGGAGATATGATTGTTGTGGAAGAGCTGCTCGAAGGAGATGAAGCCTCAGTGTTTGCATTCACTGATGGAATTGACTTCAAGACATTACTTCCATCACAAGATCACAAGAGAGCTTTTGAGAACGATAGGGGACCCAACACTGGAGGAATGGGTGCTTATTGTCCCTATCCTTTCCTCGACACAAAAGCAGTAGAAGTCATTGAAAGAGACATTTTGGGCAAAACTATTAATGGCTTAAGAAAGGAAGGAAAACCATTTGTTGGTCTCTTATATGCGGGTCTTATGATCACAAAAGACGGACCAAAAGTTATTGAATTTAATTGTCGTTTTGGAGACCCAGAGACACAATCAGTTATTCCACTTCTAGACTCAGATTTATATGAAGTACTCTTTGCATGCACTCAACAAAATTTAAAATCCATTGAACTTAAATGGAAAAACAAGAGTGCATGCGGTGTAGTGGTGGCCAGTAAGGGATATCCTGACACTCCGGTCAAAGGGCAACTAATTGAAGGCATTGACGAGGCTGTTAAACAGGGTTTACTTGTCTTTCATGGTAGCACTCAATACAAAGACAATAAGTATTATAACTCTGGCGGAAGAATCTTAACAGTGGTTGCAGTGGACGATGTATTGGAAGGAGCCGTCAAGAAAGCTATTAATGGGGCCAACCTCATCAAAATTGACCAGAGCTTTTTTAGAAAAGATATTGCCCATAAAGCTTTAACAAGGTAACGTTTATCATTTTCATGCTAACATTAATGTTTTACAAGATTACAGTATATTTGTTTTAAAAAAGTAGAGATAACTAAATTTAATAGCAAAAGATCTGTCAATTCAAATAGGCAATTAGTGTATTGGAAATATATTTATTTTAATATTTATATCATAACATAAAATCTATTTATAGATTACCGAAATCATTAGATTATAAGTCAAGTGGTGTCGACATAATTGCTGGCGAAGAGTTGGTCAATAAGATTAAGAGGTTTACAAATCAAACCAATAGAAGCGGAGTTATCGATCAAATCGGAGGATTCGGTGCTTTGTTTGATTTGAAAGGCGCCGGTTATAAGGACCCCATTCTCGTGTCGGGTACTGACGGTGTGGGCACTAAACTCAGAGTGGCTCTTGAATATGGAAAAGTAGATACTGTGGGAATAGATTTGGTGGCCATGTGTGTCAATGATATCCTGGTCCAGGGTGCAGAACCATTATATTTCTTAGACTATTTCGCGTGCAGTAAACTTGAAGTTAATATTGCGGCCAAAGTTATTGAAGGCATTGCTATTGGATGCAGAGATTCCTACTGTGCTCTCATTGGTATAAATGATTTATATGATATATTTTAAATAAGCTAATTATAAACTAAAACTTTAATTTAATTTAAATTTAAAACTATCATAACTTTATAAAAATTATTTAACAAAAATCTATAGGCGGAGAAACAGCGGAGATGCCGGGGATGTATGCCGAGGATGACTTTGATTTGGCTGGTTTTGCTGTGGGAGCTGTCGAAAGACAGTCTCTTTTGCCACGATTGCAAGACATAGAGGTTAACGATGTAGTCATTGGCGTCCCGTCGAGTGGTGTTCACAGCAATGGTTTCAGTCTTATTCGCAAATTAATTTCAATAAAACAAGTCAAATACACGGATGTGACACCTTTTGATCGGTCGACCACTTTTGGAGATGTGTTACTAAAGCCCACAAAACTCTATGTCAAGTCATTATTACCGGCAATCAAATCTGGAAAAATCAAAGCTTTGTCACATATCACCGGCGGTGGTCTAATTGAAAACATTCCCCGGTATAATACCAGTCAATTGCATTCAAAATGACATCAAATAATATAAGTTAATTTACAGAACTTTGCCCAAACATTTGGCTGTAGTATTGGATGCATCCAAATGGGAAGTGCAGGATATCTACAAATGGATTAAAGCTGAAGGAAATATTGCTGACAGAGAAATGCTGAAGACGTTTAACTGTGGTTTAGGAATGATCTGTATTGTCAGTCAAACAAACGCTCAATCAGTTGTTGATATGATTAAAGCGAATGGAGAGAAGGCTTATATTGTGGGAAATGTTATACAACGGAAAGATGAGGGCGTAATTGTAAATAACTTTCCGGTCACTCCGAGAGCACAGTTACCTCATTTGAAAAAGAAAAGAGTAGCCGTCTTATTGTCAGGGTCGGGCACTAACTTTCAAGCAATTGTTGATTATGTGTCACAAAATGCAAGCAATACTGCCATCGATTTAGCATTAGTTATATCGGATAAGAAGGAAGCCGAAGGGGTTGCCAGAGCACAGAGGGCTGGCATCACAACCAAGATTTTGATTAAGAAAAAAGTTGAGTCCCGAGAAGAATATGACGAGAGGATCCAAAAAAGCCTTTCTGAACACTCAATAGATTTGGTTTGTTTGGCCGGTTATATGAAGATAATGACCGATGCTTTTGTCAATTCATGGACGGGAAGGATGATTAACATTCACCCATCAATATTGCCGCTATTCAAAGGTATGAATGCCTATCAACAGGCATTGGACGCCAGGGTCAAAATAACGGGCTGTACCGTGCATTTCGTGACACCTGAGATGGATGCCGGCCCTATCATAGCACAGACTTCTGTTGACATCCATGTGAACGATACGGTGGACACTCTCATGGAAAGAGGCAAACGGGTTGAACACCAAACATATCCCAAAGCTCTAGAACTTGTGGCTCAAGAGAAGATTGTTCTCTCTTCCGATGGCAACACAATTGTTTATAAGTCATAAAACCATCACTTCTTTACAAACTATTAATAAACTAAACTATTAATTACTTCTAATGTTTATTCATTTATTCCAAATCTAACTTATTTTGCTTATCATATCAATTGAAACAATCTAAAAATATTAGCATCAATTTGATTCTCATTTGAGTAACTAATATCAATCTAAATATTAAATGCAATTTATTAAATTTCTTACTCATTGATGATTTATAAGTTTTGTCTGTTTATGATGATCTAGGTCTCAAACTAAAATCTTGATCGTTTTACTTTATTATGGTCATGGCATTTGAAAATAATCTAAATTTAACAAAAATATAAATATTACCAAGATAACTATAGATCATTAAATAGAATTCTTAAACAAAGTTGACCTTGTTCAGATAAAGTTTAACTTATATTAAGAAATGTCTAACAGCAGCCATATATTTGTAGAAGTTTTTGAATTTCTCATATATTGCTACCAAGTAATTGGATTTATTATATATCATAGTATTAACAATTCAGGTTAAAGTTAATATCCGATCCTATAAGAATACATTACATATCAAACAAAACTTGACAACTCTATTAGCTTGGTCAATTTATAATGAAGAGAACTACAGTATCTAAATTATCGATACGTTTATGAAAACTATGTTTAAGTAAATAGTGTTTGACTATCGAAGTAAAGTGAGAATGGATTGAATGTACGACAGAGTGATTGTATGGTTATGTGACAAATGATGTGAAGAAATGGTTAAATCTCGTCATTCAGTGATCTAATGGTAAGAAAGTGTTGTGCAGTGAATGGATGGCAGAGTTGAGTGAGTGTTGACGTGAGAGTGGAGTGAATGGGAAGCAGTAGTAGTCCTGTACTTAGTCTATGATACGCGTGAACTCGCGTCAAGTGACTCTCTGTTTACATCGACTCTTGACGCAAGTGAATTGTGATATTAGGCACGGATTGAGCGGTGATTGCTGTGACACACGTGTGGACACCACGAACACCACTGACCACTACGAGCACGATAGGACACCCCATCCCGAACGGGTCCCATGAATCGCAAAATCAAAGGCAATAACTGTTTTGATTGGGCACTAAGTGTGCCAAATGTCGATCAAATCAATGTGAGTCACCTGAACCGGGTGTACAAGTTGGACACGAATGTGTGCAAGGCCAAAAACAATAAGTATGCCATCAGTCATACCATTGCCACCACTGTATTGACCAATGAATTGATTGATTGCCAGGAATTGTGTGCAAAACATCCGATGTCTCAATGGTTTGGGTGAGAAGTCATGGCTGAGTCCATCGGACAACACATCCAATGCCATCAATGACTCGGAATTGGGCCTAAGAGTGGACGGCACGTTCGTCGGCCTCAAGAACTTAGGCGCCACTTGTTATGTCAATTGTCTGCTTCAGGTTTGTCTCCATTCACTCATTTCATTATCCAATGATGACATTCTTGAGATACCTATTGATTGTGACAATAGGTGTGGTTTCATAACCCTATCTTCCGATCGATGGTATATCAGTGGAAACCAGAAGAAGATCCCGAAGAGATCGAAGTGCACACAAACAATGCATTGAATTCTCTGAATGAAGAGTTTGTTCCCAAGACATGTATCGGCAAATTGCAGCTAATCTTTGCTTTAATGCAATTCGGAATCAGAAGTTCAGTGGATCCGAAGCCTATCATAAAATGTCTTGAATTGGATGAGAACCGACAACAGGACGCACACGAGTTCTCTAATCTATTCTTCTCTCTCATTGAGAAGAAGTTACAGTTCCAGAAGAATGCCAACGTCCAGAAAGTGATACAAAGCCAATACTGCGGCAAATTTGCTTACATTACCAGGTCTTGACTCAACTATATTTTAATTTTAAATTCTAATTAATATAATTAAAATATATTTCCATTCATTTCTATGTCTTAAAGATGTCAGACGTGTGAAGACATGTCTTCAAGGGAATCGCAATTCTATGAATTGGATCTTAACATAAAGGGCTGTAAAGATATTTACGAGAGTTTAGCCGATTATCTAAAGGTTTGCTCTTTTCTTCTCATGAATGAGTGAATTGATTACAATTTGTTTGTTTCTAATGTCAATGAACTAAAGGTTGAATACCTGATGGGATCGAATCAATACTATTGCGGCAGTTGTGGACAGAAACGAGACGCCGCCAGATATATACAGCTCAGGAAATTACCGCCCGTTTTGAACATTCAATTGTTGCGTTTTGTGTTTGATCCGCACATAAAAAAGCTCAACTCTGTTATCAGATTTCCCGACACTCTTGATGTCAAGCCGTATATTCCATGTGAATCTTTGGACCCAAAGGAGACGACATATCATTTGAGTGCAGTTCTCATACATCGCGGGCCGAGCGCTCATTCCGGCCATTATATCGCTCACATCAAAGACCAAAGCACTGGCTTTTGGTTTAAGTTTAACGATGAAAAAGTCGAGGAAATTGAGGGCAAGAAATTGAAACTCGATTCGGACGAAGTGAGTGACGAAAACTGTGACACAAATGGCACTTCTTTGCCAAAGAATGACAGAAAAGGTTTACACCAATCAAACAACGCTTATATGTTGGTCTACAAGAATGAGATGCAATCGGACAACAACTCCAACGACTGGGGTTTACCTCAATATCTCATGGATTTCATTCAGAAAGACAACCAATCGTTTGAAGAATCCATTGCAGAGCAGAGAAAATTAAAAGTATTTTAGACTAAGACTTGTATTATTTGATTATTAATTTTATTTTATTTGATAGGAAGAGGAAATGTGTTGTTATATTAAACGCAAAACAGAAATCGCAAACATTTACGGACAGCTGACCTCTAACCCCGACACACCGCATGAGTTTGTTTCGAAAAAATGGTTAACCCATTGGTTGAGTGCTAAGCCATTAGAGAAAATTAATGCCGTTGACAACGAGCACTTGTTATGCACGCACTCTAAACTCAATTTCAAGTGTCTGTCTTCAATCAAATGTATTTCCAAATCAGGCGCCGATCTCTTGTATGACAGATATGGCGGCGGACCCAGACTTGGGACCGATTCGTTGTGCACGGAGTGTGTGGCCAAAGAAGTGGAGTTTATTAAGACGAAGACCAAGATTGAAGAGGACATGAAAATCATTGCATCACAACTCAAATTCACAATCAGTTCAGAAGAGGAGTCCTTTTGGGTCGGAAAAGAATCTCTTAAGTCTTGGAAACAAATCAAACTCAAGTCCTTCGAATACAATGGCTTTGATAAAAGCGGTTTGTCTATTGAATTAACATTTTGCCGTATGTTTGTTAATATGAGTCTATTTGACAGAAAATTCGGACGATTCTGTTGAAGTGATTGAGAACAACGACACGGACACTGAAATCTCGTGTCTCAATGAAGACATCATTTGCACTCACGGTTTGTCTATTAATATTCACTTACTATTAATTACAATTAAGATGAATATAAATTTATATTTACATCCATTTTATATAACGACAGGACAACTGACAGCTGATGAAAGTAAGCGAAGACTTATTTCTACTATTGTTTGGCGAACACTTAGAAAGCATTTTCCAAACGCTCGAGAATTCACTAAATGTTGTGCCGTTTGTGAGGATTGTGTGGTTAGTGTCATATATTGAAACCATTTTACTAAAGCTCATTGCTAATATATTTGAATTAATGTGGAAATAGAGTGACAATAAAGTGTTTGAAGTGATTAAGAGTCAGCATAAAGAGATGGCAACTCAACAGAAGCTTAGTTTACCTAATCTGTTGGCCGAGAGACACCGATTGGGTTGGGACGACCTCTTGCCTACCTATCAATATTTTGCATTAAGCAAAAAATTTCTCATCTCTTGGAAAAAGTTTGTAAAGTAAGTAAATATTTATTTATTTATAATCATAAATATAATGCTTTTATTAGTTTGTTATTTTCTGAACTTAATTTAAATATGTTGATACACAAGAAATAATGATATATTATAAATAGGGTTTGAGAACATTTGGAAATTAACATTTGATCATAAAAAGCTAAAGATTTAATAATTGTTAGTAAATGTCCAGGTCAAAGTTGTTGCGGAGTGTTAAAATATGCATAAATTTTTTGTTTCAAATATGTAGATATGTAAAAATCAACAAAATGACCTATCTTGGGTTTTATGGATTTAATACATAATCAGTGTATTAAAAATATATTCAATTAGAATTTTTGATAAAATACTTTATACTTACTGTACATATGACTAAATCATTCACAGACAGGCGTTATTAGTTTAAAATAAAAATTTATTCATGTGCTATTCTCCATAAGTTTATATGAAAGTATAACTCATATTATTAATAAGTTGACCCAGCTCTAACGCCTGTCTGTGAATGATTTAGTCATATCAAGAATAAGGAATTGAATTAAATTTTAAAATATCACAATAAGTATTGATGATGTTCTGGTAGTTTTGCTACATGCAGCCATACTGTACTACAATACTCTAGTTGTATTACCATATCTTAGACGTGCTTTCAGTTAGCCTTATAAATTTATAAATTATAAGTAAACTATTGACACAGTATTAATAAACAATAATATAAGAAGTACATCAATTAACGATACTAATTATTATGGAATAGCTAGTGTGTGTATCAATTTTAATTTATTAATTATTATTAAGAGATAATTTTTAAATATTCATAAAGAATCCAGAATAACACTGCAATAATTTAATAATTTTATTATGAAATACTGTGAATGTTTGTGATTTTGACCCAAATTTATAATTATATTTATCAGACTGCGATTCAATCAAAATATTTTATCATTTAATGTATTGAATTAAGCTTTAGGTAAGAATTAAATCTTAAATTATAAATATAGTGAGAAATTGAGCGCAAATGATGCGTTCAGATTGTAAGCCAAGTGTTGGTCTCAATCTATGGTAACTCTTATGAGTGAGGCGTTGAGTTAAAAAGTATCAAATTATATAAAATAGATTTTGTCATTAATCCGATTCACAATCTTAAGAAATTTATTAAATTACTTTTAAAAATATTAATTCTTTCAATGATGTGAAGTTATCTATTTTTGTACGAAAACTTATTATAAAATTTTAAAGTTTTTGTTAAAGCTATACAGTAGATAGTATAGTAGAGTTAAGTTGTATACAGTGCTAGTATTGAATGTTTTTTATGGCAAAATCTTCTCAACTGTTCTCAAATGTTCTCTCACTTGGCTTTGGGGACGACTTAGGGATCACTAATAATAAGGGAGAAGACTCTGATATTATGTATGCAATGCTCTCATGACATCCGATTTGATTGATGACCCGATCCATGAGTTATCCATATCTCACAAAACACACCCAATATTTCTTTTAGTATATCTTTTATAGACTACAACTGCGATCATAATCTTTATAACCAAAAAATAGTGCATTACTTCTCTTTTTTTGACATTCATTGATAGCAAACGTTTTCATTCACTCGTTATTTGTTTGTTTCAAATCATAGGATTCTTTTCAATGGAAATAATTTTTCATTACTTTTATTGTTTCCTTTATTTCTATGAGAACTCCAATTATCGTATTTGTAATTAATCAAAACTATGTTATATTCAATTTACTCAACTAAATCCATTATTGTATTTAATTTCTTAAAGGATCCATTTAGTATTACATACTGTACCTTATCGTATGCATTCATAGCAATACAATTCAATGAATATCAAACTATTTATTTTTACCTTTCTCATCATATTTAATTTACATGTTATTCCATTCATAGCAACTACTGTCAAACTATATTATGAATTCTTTTATGAATTTTATAGTTTTATGAGTCTTTAATTGAATATACATTACATTGATTGCTATACGGTATATATGCTTATAGTACAATATATACAGTATATATTGAATTAAGATAATCATTAAATTATTTAAATGCTATCTGGTTACAACAAATGATCTAAGAATTACATTTAAAATATACATTGTAAAACCTATGTCATTATTTTTAATTGAACAACTTTGGCGTTTATAGTTTACAAATATTTAATATTATTATAATGAGAATGCATTGCATATCTAGTGTTAATGAATGAAATGTTTGAAAATATAACATTTGTTTTGAATTGATTGAATTGAAGCGATCCTTCAAAGCACAGTCCGCCGGATGCTATTGAAAACTGTGGCCTTTTATGCGCTCATCAAATGTTCTTATATCCGAGTGAGACGACTGAGATTGTTGGCAGTGATAGCAAGTATGCCAAACATACTATCAATGAGTTGTGTTTGAATTGTGATTAAATAATTTGAATACAGATTTGTGATCGTATCGAAAGAGGAATGGGATGCACTCATCGCTCACTATTCTAATGACTTTCAAATTGAATTTGTGGTCCTCTTCAGTGAAAATAACGCCAAATTCATCGACTCGTTCCCCCGTAAGTCCACTCCACTCTCCCCTTCACATGAATTTGAGATTTTCAAACAATTGCTAATCAAATGAACCCTAATTTGAAGACCAACATAATAATTTTAAAATATGTAATCTTTTATAACTATTACGAGTGAACATAATATAAAACTGAAAATATTAATAAAATTGAAGCCAACATTAGATGTAATAGTATTTTATAAACCTTTTGAGTGAACCTTTTGATCCTTATATTGCTAGAAGAGTGAACATAAAGTTGTAATCAAAAAGCCATTAGAATCGTATTAAGAGACTGTTTGTATGCTCTCTATAATGCTATGAGATCTGCAAACCCTTTAGGACCCACAGTAAACATTATATTATTGTTTTCAAATAAGTCTTTTAGTTTCGATTACTTCATTTCCACAAATTATTATTAATTTGTATTTTATGCTTCAATTCGCAGCATATTGTGATTCGTGTTTCCAAAGTCTTATACTGGAAGAGGAAAGGGAAAGACTTACTTATACTAATCAATCTGTTTATGTGAGAAAAGTTGAGAAAAATGAGAGCAATTCGGACGACTCGCACGAAAAGCAAGAGAATAGTTCCGATTCTTATTTTTCTGTAAGTGATAATTATAACACAATTGTATCCATTATTAACTCTATTTTACTCAATAATTTTAATATATTTTTTGTTCAACACTTGGACTCAATTGTTTGATAAATTAGAAAATGAATGGAAAGAAACTGAAAAAAGAAGACACAAAAAATGCTTTTATAGGAAACGGAGAGATTCAGAGCTCTCAAGGCCTGAGACGGAGTTCGCGGCGAAGGAAAAACAAAAATGAAAAGGAAATCAAAGTCTCGTCAACTAATACACTCTTAGATCTTAAAATACAGGTAATCCAAGCACACTACAAATAATTATATTATTTATTTATTCACTTAACACATTTGGCATTTTTAAAAATATAACTTTTAAAATAGTTTAAGAACTACACCAGAATTAAATAACTTTATCATATATTAAGAATTGCTTTATTAGTCATATTAATGGTTGTTTTATTGTTTGTATTAAAGATAATGAATGTGTTTCGAGTGCCAACTTTTGACCAACACTTGACCCTCAATGACAGACCACTTGATGCCAACAACAAAACATTGGCCGAACTCCGTGTCGAACCCTATTCTATAATTACTCTAACTGTAAGTCTTGTCAACAATTTGATTTTTTAACATT